TACACACACACACACACACACTCCATATATCCAGTACTATTTCACAGAGACACTTAGGAAATCTGAAATTATTCCTGATATGATAAAATAGGCCAAAAAGTTTAAGGTATCTGCTCTGGCCGTGCAGATAAAGTTCAAGTTACTTTTACATAAAATTATGTACTGCATTTGTACTCCAAGAGAAAATTGTCTTATCTTTTAAATGTTGATTTTTTTTCATTCCATTATGTGATTCATTTATCTAAGTATATAAAAATATTGTACATAATTGTCTTTGATATCTTGAACTCTAAAAAAACATTAACTTATGATCTTTCCCAATTAAAAACACTCATTTTAAACCCTTGTTTTTCAACCCTCTTCAAGTCCAAATCATATGCCTGCCTTATGTCTGGACCTCACCCCAGGGATTTGTTTAATTTGCAGTGACAGGGCCCAATCACCTGTACATTTTAAAAGTTACCCAGCAAACTTCTGACAGGCAGGTCCTTTTATACAGAGGTTCTTAAGACTTCACTAGTAGTGTTCATTTGCTCTTCTTTCTTTCCACCAGGAAATAAGTGATAAACTCGTGGGGTTTTCTGCTGCTACGATAAAATATTTTTTTTTCTGTGTGTTCCAGTCCACTTTCCAGACAGTACAGCTGACGGCAACTGCGGAAATCAATACCTATAACCCTCAACTATATGTGATTGAAGAAAACACCGTCACAGTGAGTGTGTCATACCCTCCCCAAAAAGGCACTCTGTTTCTAAAGATGCAAATAATAATTTTTCTCACCTCCACGTATATGGAAGAATCTTATTGAAACTCAGAATCTGACATCTATCATGTTGAGTTTTGGCAATAGCATTTGCTACTCAGAAAGTTTAGTAATATAATTGCCTGCTTCAGGCCCCCACACTGGATTTCCAAGAAGTAATGATCTAGAGAAAGGCTCAGCGAAAGGGCTTTGTCTTGTTAGGGCTGACCTGTGCCCCTTCTCCATGCCTATACCAGCCCTGTAGCTCTGTCTTCCCCTCTGCTTATATAAAACCATCTAGATTGTAGGCCATAAAATCTGTTATGATGATTTAAATCATAAATTGTGTTTTAGAGTATTTTTAAGGAGCAATGAAGCATGCCTAATAAATAAAGCATTTATTATTGAAGATTTTTTAATAGTGTATACTGCAACCAGACTGACACAGTGTGGCAAGTTCATTCATGGTCTTACATTCCTAAAAACTATAATGCTCCCCTTGATAAAAATGGTCCTTCAGAGAAGGGTTCTTTTACAGAAGACAAAGGATTTCTGTTCCAAAGGTTGGCACAGACAACTCTCCTTTGCAATGAGACTCTGGTTAGCATATGCCATTTTTAGATACACTATAGGAGGGACTTCCACGCCTAGTTAATCTGCTGGCAGAGCCCACAGCATTTTCCTCTTGAATATTTTTTTCTGAAGTTATGAGTTCATGACTTTACCCCAAGTTCAGCTGGGCAGTTGGCCTCAGTCCACAGCTCCATCCCACAGATTTGCTTAAAAGACCTGTGTCCTGGAGAACTCTGTGCCTCTCTCAGTGCCTGAGAATACAGCTTACAGCACTGCCGTCCCACTCTGTCCCAGGAAAAATGATTCCACACAACAGACAAAGCTTTTCTGCCCCTGGCTTAGGACACTCAGTGAAAGCCCACACCCTCTCTTCAGAGGCTGGGCATGGAAAGTCAGAAATAGAGCCAAAGGAAATGCAGACTTCAAACTTGAACTGCTGTGAACTTAGCCCAGGGAAGAAAGCACGGTACGTTTTTTGTTAAAAGCTGACTTTAGAATCATGCATTTTTTTAAAATGTAAAACTCTGCTATAGTCTTTGCTTTTTAGAAAGCAGTCATAAACATTCACTGAAAATTCAGATGAACAATTTTCATGAACTTGTGTTTTTTTTTCTTGGTTTTCTCTGAGCAGTACTAATAAACACAGAAGTCAACTTTTACTTAATTGCATCTATGAAAATATTTTTAATACAAACAGTATTTTGGGTAATTTTTTGAATCCTGTTTTGAATCTATATTTGCGACATTTTTCTATAGATAATAAATTATTACATTTATTTCAATCCCAGGACAACTTAAAAGGGACAAACCAAATTTTATAATCGTGATTCTAGACTCCATGGACCCCAGTTTAAGAATCTCTGGAAGAGAGAGAAGCAGGAATATAACTGCCAGTAAAGAAAAAATGAAAAGAATTTAAAACAACTTTAGTAATAAACTTTAAAAAAAACATTATTTTAGCTTTTGAAGATATTAATAATGAGAAACATATACTGATAAATTATGTGAAATAAAGCCTCCCATTTGCCACTGAAATTTAATGTTAAATGAAGTAAATACATTGTCCTCTTTTTTTGCTTTTTAAGCAAAAATAGCTTTTTAGAATATATTTTGAAGGAAATGATTGAGACTCTTTCCCCAGTTATAGGAAAGAAAAACAATAGGCAGTGTTACTATTAAAACTCTTAGGGTAGCCATTCTATTACAGCACCACAAAGATTGCAGGAAGTGGGCATGAAGAAACATAAATATCCTCCAGAACAAGCTCCTCTCTTTTGAAAAGATCAGCTTGAGCCCTGAGACCTTAGTTGAACTTTCCAGCAGTTGATACCAACCTTCAGTGGGATTTAAGAGAAGTCGGTACTCAGAAATCCGAAACACAGCTGTTGCTGTTGAACGACAGTAGTGTTGAGTCAGGTGATTTTTTGACCCCTCTCCCCAGGACCCTGTGCTCTCTCTGGATGACGAAAACCTATGCTAGAAACTGAAGTCCCTATTTTAGTTAAAGCATCTAGGATTGTCAGGCATGACATAGACATAAAATACTAATGCAACCAAGGAGAAAAACCTAGAAAATGTGTATTCACTGTCTATTTTGCAGTTTTTTTGAAAAGTTTTTCTGTGTCGTGCACACCATCATGAGGGAGTCACGTCAGCTTTCTAGAGCTGGGGATGTTCGTTTCTAGGATTACCGAATTGGACGTGATTCTCGCTTTTCTAGTGAAAAAATTCGATAACTCAACTATGAATATATTATTTTCAGATTCCTCTCCTGATAATGAAGCCCAACGAGAAAGCTGAAGTACCAGTAGGAGTTATAGTAGGAAGTATAGTTGCTGGAATTCTTTTACTCTTAGCTCTGGTTTCTGTCTTATGGAAGGTAAGAAAAATTCCCCATTTTAAAATACAGGGCTCCTGAAAGCCTGTCATAAATTCCCTTACAAAACCACAATTTAAAATATTATATGGTACTCTTCTATTATGGGGAAAAGAAGTACAAGTTTGTTTACAATTTCTCATTCATGTCCTTGGAAGCTCATTAGCATTTTATTTCTTTTCTAAAAAGAAATTTCCTTCTTCCATGGTCCTGAACATTTTAGTCTGCTTCAAATAAGTAGTCTCAGAAGGTGAAAATGGTGGCTTATGACTGTAATCTCAGATACTCAGGAGACTGAGGCAGGAGGAACCCCCAAGTTCAAGGGCAGCCTGGCCAAATTAGTGAGAGCCTGTCTCCAAATGAAATAAGATCTAGGAGTGTGGCTTAGTGGTATTTACTTAGTATGTGTGAAACCCTAGGATCAGTCCCCAATGCTGTAAAAAAAAAAAAGGCAAGATTTTATCTATATTCAGTTTTGAACTCTCTGGATATAAATTTCCTCACTAAAAGGGTGACCGATAAAGGTTCAGCAGTCTGCCCACGACTCTCTCCAGAGCCTCAGGGATTCTCAGAGATGTCTTAAAGAGGGTTAAAGTCATCATAGCAAATAAGTCATGGTGATAACATCATTCTTTAAATTGTACACATGTAATGGGTGCAGTGTGACATAAGTGCACGTGATATATGTACTCACTGAGCAATGCTCAAACTAGGATAATTATCAAGCACAAAGGGTGGTAACATTTTATATCATCACCTTCATAGCTCGGCTTCTTCAAAAGAAAATATGAAAAAATGATGAAAAATCCAGATGAGATGGATGAGACCACAGAACTCAACAGCTGAGCCACCTGGCAAACTCTGTCACAGTGGGAACTGTCAGCGTCCCATCGGGGTCTGCTATTGTCACAGATGGATCTTTTTTTAAGTCTAAGTTTTTAAATAATGTAATGGGTAGATTAGCCTGATATTTTAAGAGAAACTGCTGGCCAGTTTGCAATGAAGCAAGTGTGAGTGAGGATTAGGAGTAAAAAGAGCAAAAGACTTATTTTTTAAAGAAAAAAGTAATCCTTAAACTGGCTGGTACAGAGTTTACATTGTATTGTACTGTGTTGGAAACATTAAATGCTTCCAGGTATGCAAGTCTTAAAGAAATTTGGGGGAGTGGGGAATGCTTTCTTTAAAATGATTGATTTAAACAGAAAAAACAAAAGTATATATGTAATAATACTATACATTAATATATATCACATATAATTATGTATAATACATATTATTCTATAATATGTACCATACTATGTATTGTATAATACAAATTACATCATATAATATGTATTATATAATTATATATAATACGTATTATATATTATTCTGGATATTTCCACATATATGTAAAATTATTGTAATGTTAAGAGTAGACAAAACTAGCACAGGTCTTGAAATTTATGCTGTTCTTTCAAAGTTGCAACAGGATGTACTTTTAAGTGATTTTATTTATAAACTAGGTAAAATTTGCTAATGGTTCTTTTGCCCCTGGGTGCCTCTTCAGATTCCTACCTTGCTATAATTGTCAAAACATGATTAAATAACTGGAAGCAGCTTAGATAATACCTCTTACTAAGGATATTTCCTATTGAGGAAATCTCCACTGAAGTTGGAGAGGGGCAGTTTAGAAGCCAAGGAACAAAATTTTGCTTCTAACACATACTATAAAATGTATGGTAAAATCTGATCTGCTGGAAGCCTGGAGAAGAATGAAACTTCCTTTAATGATACACAGCAGGTCTCTTCCAGGGCTTGATTCACTGGCTAGCAGAAAATTGGTGAATTTTAAAAAGATGAGTAAATTCTTTGCAACCCATCTGCTCCCTTGCTGAACCATTCTCTTGTGGTCCTGGTGCTCCTGTGTGACAGAAGCCCCCACAGCCTGCCTTCTTCTCCAGGGGTCCGATTATCCACCTTCCTTTACCCTTCATCCAAATCTCCCACACTCTAAGAGGTGCTTCGATGAAAAAGCCTTCTAATTCACACACCTGGGTAGATTACTGTATTAAACTCTTTGTCTTCAGGAGGCTACTTTTGTCTATTACTAAACAAGTAAAGACTAGGTGAATGTCAACGTTGGAATCACAGAAGGTATAGACAGGATAAAGTAATATATCTCAGAAATTTGTAAGAAATTATGGATGAGGCACCAGAAACCACAAAACTAGCAGGTGTATCTTCTGTGCTTGTTTCTAAAAGACTGAATTTCACCTGAGCAGATTCGAAAGCTCACTTCTTCTGCTCCGACTCCTGAGATTATCTGGTCAGATTGGGATGGGACCCCATCAGTTGCATTTTGACAAGCACCCAACATTATACTGTAAGTAGACAGCACTTTGAGGGACACCACCATTTCTTACTTCCTTTTCTCGATTTCTGAGCCCACACATACTCTGGGGATAATTCTGAGGAAAAGGGCATGGGCAAGGGCAATAAGGGCCATTTCATGTTGGACACTATATACCTAAAGCTTTTGGACAAGTCCTCAAATTCTATGAACTTCAGTGTCCTCATTATAAAATGGGGAGACTAGGTTGATGCTCAGGAGGGATGCTTTTAGTTTTTAAAGTTCATGATCTAGATTTCCTATAGTACGAGTACACAGTCCTCCTAGAATGTGGCTTGAAGATATCAGAAAACAGGAATTTGCCCATGTACATATGTCTGGACCTGACCGTGGTGCTGGCCTGGCCCAAGTGACCACACAGAGCTGTCTGGACAAAGCAAGATGAGAAAAAGAAAAGCCATAAAATCAGCATTTATAACAAAAGCAGCATGTTATTTTCTCTAGTTAGGTGAGCCAGAGCCCAAATCTTTAACAGCTGTGGATTCACTGTTGCGTTCCAACAAAATTTTTATTTAAAAAAAATGGTAGACTAATCATTACATTCATAAAAGTATATTTAATAAACTGTGTAACTACTGCTAGTTTTTCTGTGTACTTTACAAAACATGTTTTATTCTGCCTCACCTTCCTTAGAAAAGTCGTAAGCTAAGGTCACCTACTTCACATATTGTGCTTGAGAACTCTAGCTATCCTTGGCATAATCTGCCTGTAATACACTGTTTCCATGGAGCAGTTGGATTACTACAGCTAAAGACTTAGCCATTTATTTCCTAAGCATTTATCACATGAGGGTAGGTTTTTCCAACCTTGACTTTACTGTCATTTTGGGTCAGGTGGTTTTCTTGGGGGAGTGGGAAAAATGTTGTCTAGCAGCATCCCTGGTCTCTATCTAATGGATGCCAGGTAACACACACTCTTCCCCAGTCACGACAATCACAAATACCTCCACAGATGGCCAGAGCACTCCCAGCAGGAGTATTTCTCAAGCACTTTTAAGCAAAGTCAAGTATTTGTACAAATAATTAAGGGGAAAAGGTATATACATTTTTTGGAGTTATGTGTTTCATTCAACAATACTTTTGTTTTAAAAGTGAGTAGAGGGCTTTAAACATATAATTTCCATTTCATAAATGGCATACAAACAAGGTGTATGGAATATGACGTAAGCATGTAGTTGCTTCAGCCATGGCTGCCATACAAGCCTTAAAGCACAGTGACATAGCTTGATGAACATAGCACTGAGATTGAAAATTCTGCATTACTATTTTAGAAAAAAATTGACAATTCTTCATGTACATTTTTCTAGCTAGCAGTCATTTTCATAAAATAGTGACAGTTAACTGTGAAGAGCAAAGAAAATTAAAGCAAATTATGTCATGTGATAACACTGAAAATAATTTTAAAAGGTGTGATTTTTACACCTTTTTATTTATCCTAAAACTATAACCCAATGTATGAAAATCTTATATTAAGACATCATTAAAAAGGCAGGGTTAAACTTAGCTTTCTGATAGTAGCTTCTTTGATATTTCAGTTAGTACACATAAAACAATTATTAACTTTTTAGGACTATGTCCTTCATGTACATAAAATGGGCATAACCATTTTAATCCATTTGAAAGATTAACTTAAATATCTAGAGGTGAAAGATAAATATGAGGGCGGAGTGTGAAACAAATGAAGATATTAACTACTTGTAATTTTAAAGAATAAAAATGTAGCCATGTAAATATAGATCACATGTACTTATTTTAGCAGATGAAGTCATAATATAAATGTATATATTGCACAACTATGTTAGAAACTATTTTTTATAAAAGAAATTGTTTTGTTTTATTCATAAATAATATACAGGTCTCTGATATTAAATTTGCTGTTTTTGTGTTTTGTCTCTTTTCCTCTCCTCTAAAACTATAAAAATGAATGTATCTGTTTGTATATCAAGTTGCACAACTCATTTGACTTCTAAGAAATGAAAATTGATTTGGAATAGTAATCAAACTAATAGCTTTTTTATATCATAGCATAAGAACCCCCAAATTTTTTATTTAAGTGTAAACCCCTCTCTTTATACCATATTTAATTAAAATTGTTTTGAAAATAAAGCCATTTTCTTTAGGTGTGGATTTTTCCCTATGCATATCTTCTAATGGCTTAATTTGGCTTCAGAACATTTGAGATTCAATTTCAGAGGATTAAGGATGTAACTACCTATAGGATTACCCATGTAAGAAAAAAAAAAAATGAGGCAAACTTCTACAAGATGCAAAGCATAGTTAATAAACATAGGTTTTTTTTTTTTTAAAAAATGTAATAATAAACAGGAGGGCCTAAATATCTTAAAAATTAAATGTGCTGAAATGAATACACTGAAGAATTAGAAGATACGTATCCGCTCACACTCATCAGACTACTGCAAAGTTCATGCAATGCACCAACATTGCCTCCTGCATCAGGCATGCTACCTTGGGCCTTCTTGTCCATCTCTGTTAGGGCAGCAATCACCTGTGAGTGTATTTGGTATATATCTCACATTAAAATACAATTTGGAGATGGGAAACTTGAAGAGGCTAAGGCAAAAAGATTGCAAATTTGAGCCCAACCTGAGCAACTTAATAACTTAGTGAGACACTGTCTCAACATTTAAAAACAAAACAAAAAAATATAAGGATGTAGCTCAGTGTAAAGGCCTTGGGTGCATTCTCCAATAAGGCGGGGGAGGTCAGAGAAAAAAACATGAGTTGTTTTGTTTTCACAGGACAGTTTAGGAAATGCTGCTAAACTACTGTATTAAAGCTACAACTCTGTTCCATGTTGTTAATTGGAAAATAATTATTTACTCACTTTTTAAAGGCAATTTATTAAAAACATTTATATTAAGCATTTAAAAAGATTCCACTCATCATAATCCATTTTGAACTAAGACACCAATTAAAGATTGGGCAAAATTTAGGTCCAATTTTTCTTTAAGGTCTGTGCCAGACTTATTTTGAAGAGAACCGCTAAAAAACTTTTTGGTCTAGAAGTTACTATAGCCCTGTCTCTACCGCCCTCTCCTGGATGACCCACTTAACTACATCACACAAATCAATACCTTTAGGAACAAATTTAAAAGTTCAGTAAAATGTCATAAAATGGAAGTGGAGAAGGGAATGGAGGACCTACATTATGCCTGTGAATCATTTACTTATCCAGATGCTTTTTCACATCTATAAGTGCTACAGCGCCATACGTGTTTATTTTGGGACAAATGGAACAGCAACAGCATGGTATTCAACAAATATGAGTGGTATATCTAGTATATCAAGAAGCACTAAGAACAACAAAATATAAGGCAGGTTAATCATGTAGGATTCTAGTTTTGGACACAACAGTGAGAGAAGGTAACATTTAATCAGAGACCAACATAGAGGAAGCACATCCTGGGAATGTCTGAAAGATAGATCAAGGCTGTCAAAGGCAGGTGTAGCCTGTCAACACCTGACACAGCAAGGCAGTAAGCCTGGAAGGAGACAAGAGGCAAGGAAATGCAGACTTCAGTGAGCAATGAGGTCCCAGGATATGATTAGCTCTGAGAAAGGTCCAAGTAATACAATGAGTAATGTAGGCTGGAGAGGGAAGAGGGCAGCAGGCCAGTCCACATGGATGGGAAGGGGCAGTGGAATCAGGAAGAAGTATCTAAATTTAAATTCCATCCAGAAATCTCTTCCCTTATCCTCTAATAGGTCTATTTCCAGGAATCTGAAACCACGACCCAAATTATTGAATTCTTGTTTTGTTTTGTTTTTTGTACCGGGGATCAAACTCCAGTCCTTGCGCTTGCAAGGCAGGCGGTGGAACCACTGAGCTAAGTCCCCGGCCCTAAATTATTGAATTCTTAATTACCATTTTATTTAAGAACCTAGAAATAATATTGACTCTAAACATATCCAAAAGACAATAACATCAATTTACTCATTGAATATCTGCTGTTACTTTCATCAGAAAATGACAAAACCTTTTCCATCTTGCTGTTCTGGCAACTGTACTAAAACTTCAGTCACAGTTCAAAGTGTCATTGAGAACTTGCAAGCAATCTGCTTAAAGGCTGATTATTCATTCATTCATCTGTTTACTATTTTTTAGGTTACTTCTCCAATTACTTGGGTAGCCAAGTAGCAAAGGCTTTATATCAGAATGATGCCAGCCCTTAATATCACAACTACTGAATAACTCAGTGACTTCAAAGAAAGTGAGAATTAATCGATATCCTATTTAAGACCAGTGCAGTGCACTAAAATCTTCCAAGGATGTTCCATCTTAGCTCTTCTGCCCCAGTCCCACTGGATTGGCTAAGGGACAGACCCCCAAGGAACCAGGAGATTCCTAAAGCCAATATGGTGGTACTGTAGCTCCCAGTCAGAGACAGGATGCACAATCTTCCTCAGTGTACTGAAGGCTGGAAGACGATTACTGTTCAACAGAACAGGCATTCAATAAATATTTGTTGAATTCTGTAGGTAAAAAATGCTTTTGTTAGGTGGAACAGAATTACTAGCTTTATCACAGAAACAACTTTCAAGTCTAAAAATTTAGTTTTTGTTCCAAATATACAATGCTAACTTTGTGATGCCAATTATCCAAATTATGTAAATATTTTATTACTTTAAGAATTATGCGTATACTTGAATCTGCTAAGAGAATATAACTTCAGTATTTTCACCCCAAAACAAAAAAGTAGTACATGAGACAATAGGTATGTTAATTGGCTGGATTCTGGTAAGCACTTCACAAAACATTTCTCAAAATGTAACCAACTCCCTCTGGGTTTTGTCCTCAATGTGACAAAGAATGATGAGACAGGACAGCAAGCAATGGGAATAGTACTTGGGGTGGGTATTAGAACAAAGGAAGACCACGTGAGGAGGCAAGGACACCAAGGTAACGCCTGAATCTGGACATTTATATACAGCTTTTTGTCATAAGTGTGCGTGAAAGGGCAAAGGGGCAGAGCATGTGCAAAAATGAAGGATTCTTGATGTTTGCCAGGTTTCTTGTCATCTGCAGATTTTATTAGTCCTTTGTCTTCTGCATTCTAATTTCCCTCAAGGTTTATCTTACCTTTAGACTCTTGTACTTTGTTCTTTTGTCTCCTGGTTTAAAAAACATCACACTGTACTTTTTAAATATATATAATTTTTATTTGTCAAATATACCTCAAATAGGCTGTTAACTTTAAAAAAAAAAGTATGAGACTTATATACTCAAATCAAGGGAGTATATAGGCTGATCAATCAAAAACTACATCATTTAGTATAAAAATCTTACAAAAAAATTTTTTTTAATGATTTCACTCATGATAATGTTGCCTTAGTTTCCAGAAAAACACCCTCAAATACTTTAGAAATCATGTAATTTCTCTAATATTAATTTACTTTAACAGTTATGTTAAATTTTAAACATTAAGTAACATTTTAGCACACAGCATGTTGCTAGTTTCTTAACAATTTTATGCTGACTTGTACACTGATAACAAAATACAAGTATGATGGTACAACTGTAGACTAAATTAGACTTCTCCATATTTTAGATTTATCACTAAATCATGGAGTGTTTTTAATATGTAAGTTCTGAAAATATATAACACACAATAGGGAAACTATCTGACTTCCCAGTTCTCCCAACATTTCCACAATGCATCCCTGAGGATAATTACTAATGCACTGGGGGTTGGCGGACAAAGAGGTCTCTGAAACAGTTAAAGTTGGTGAGGAGGGGCCTCACCTTAATACGAGTTGAGTTATAATCAGAAATTAATCAAGGAGAGGTATGTCTACTACACATATCTGTCCTCACACTCAAATGATCTCATTTCTTCCCCATCTCTAGGACCTAGACCCTTATCCCCCAGAACCATTTATTTTGCATTCTTTTTCTCACTTTTTATCCTTCATTCGTGAAACCTAAGGGACTGTGCTTCAGTAAACTATCTTTTCTGTAGAAGAAAAGCAAAAGATTATCCATAATGAAAATTTACCAAATTTAAGATATAATGCTCTAAAATATGATTAATCACTGGTTGCCCAAAAACATTCTTTGTTTCTTTTCCATGAAGATGATTCTTCATATATTTCCTAAAAAACAGAACCGTGAGAGGTATTCAAGAAAGACAATTTTAATAAATGGAAATACATTGAATAAATCAGAAAAATTAATTTCACATCATTTCAGTCTGCTTATTTCAATAATCCAGTCAATACCAACAACTGTATAAGGCACAGAGCAAAAAAATGAATACATATGTTCTCTACACATCATGATCCCAACCAACCTCAATTGAGGAAATGAACAGAATCTATAATAAGACAAGGAACAATCACAGGAAGAAAAAATAATGACGCTCATTTGGGCCATAACAAGAGACAGCGGGATTAGGTTATATAGCGGTACATAAAAGTCACTAAACATTTTCTTCTTTCTAAGCATACCTATGGTACTACTTTGACATTACTAAATATGCTTTTCTGAAGGCAGTCAGGATATTTTCATTAGGTGTCAAATTAAGTGACCACCCACAAGTTCTTGAACATGCCTGGCTGCACTCTGCTGTGAACTGCTCTCCCAGCTGTGCACCTGTCTACCTGCCCACCGCATCCCTCTATCTCAGATGATGTCCAAGCACAGACTAGGACAAGAATTAGAATTTAGAGAACTGTAGAAAAGAGGGAAAAGGAGAACATATCATTTTCTCTTCCCACGCTGGCCAGATTCCACTTCTGTAGGGAGAAGAATCAAAATATAACTGTTCTTTTTAATTCCAGTGTTTCTGATTATTTTTGTAACAAGTTTAATCCCTTTTGTTAAATTTTTCTGATACAATTCTGTACTGCTTTTGAGTCTCTGGAGTTTGCTGCCTTTTCTCAAAAACCATTTAGCATTTTTGAGGCTTGAAAAACCTCCCATCTCCATCTAATGAAAATAAGTCACCGGTGTCTTATTTGCTCCACTGTATGAGATCCTGGCTTTTGATTCTATGGACACATATCTCTGAGCACCTGCACCTCTTCCGCCCCACTGCAGACAGACAGGCAAATAGCCCAGCTAGTCCTCAAAGCACAAAAACTGAGAAAAGGCCTGGATGTTACCTTGTCCCAGATTTTCTGGGGCTACTTTTTCGCAGCTACTTTGCCAGATGTCTGTTCTTTTATCCCTGGTAAAGATTGCTATCGCTATCCCTACTACCCAGACCTGCAGCTCATTTTGGAATGTTCTTCCTACCTTTCCCTCTTCTGATCCTGTCTCGTGGGGTATCAGTGTTGTGACTGCCTTGTTCAAAGCAAATCCACATTTATATATGAGCTCTATTAAATTCCCTTTCCCATTGCCTATCCTCTAACATCTGAAACCTAGAAAGTTTCAGGTGCTATTCACAAAGCCTGGTCAATAAGTTTCTTAAGCCCTGGTTCATCTTTCTTGTTCATCTCTCCTAGTGACTGAGGTGGAGCCTCAGAGAAGGACACAGGCTCAGCCTTTAAAACCCTGCCCTCTGCTCTGCTCTGCTCTGGTCCACTGAGCTATTCACTTATTCCTCTGCTTTCCCAATCGCTGCAATGCTTTAGGCAATTCTGGACTTAGACATATAATTACACATGTTTACAAATGCAGAACAATCATACTGCTAATGCTGATAACCAGGAGAAAAATCAGGGGAGCTCACCCCTTCAAAATGTTCAATTTTAATCAGAGAATTACTTATTCTTGATTGGTCTTGACTTACTAACAAAAACAAGCCAGAATTTCCATGTGTGTCTGTAAATCCATCCATTATGCATTTTTTTTCAGAGTTAGTAACATCTCTTTTTTTTCCCTCTCTAAAAGGAAAGAACAGTAATCAAAGACTTTCTACCTTAAGGAATTTCTATTTTAGCCACTGCCTACGTAGCCAGGTGCTACTTCCATTCTCCAAAAGAAAGATCCTCCAATTGAAAAGAACTCTTAATTCAAGGGATATGACTTCATCCATGAACCAAAGCAACAGTCCAGACTAGGAATTCTAACTGGTACCACCTGTTGAGACCTACGCTGGGCCATAGCTTCTGTGGGGCATAAATTTTTCATGTTTAACAAACTTGTAGAGAAGATATTACATAAGTGCCCTATTTCACATATATACAAAATAAGATTCTGCAATTAAGGAAGGCCCACACATACAAATTCTGCATGTACTCTTATTCTCTGCTCTTTATTTAAGAACTCCTGAGAAAAAGCATGTCCACATAACAAAATGAGATATTTTTCTTAACTCACCTTTTTCCATATGGGCACTTTGGCTTTTAAAGTGTCAATAGCATAACTCACAGCTGCTAGAGATGCAGCCCTGTGGGCTGCAGACACAGCAATAATTATGCTTGCTTCTGACACTGGAACCAGGCTTTAAGAAAATACAGAAAAAAATTTACTATCCGTTCCTAGTCTACATGTTAAATAATCTGCTACAAAAGTGAGAGGCAAAAATCCAGTTATATATCAGGATGATATTACAGTTCCATTTTATTTAAACAACCAGTTTAGAAAATCATCCCAGCTGCATTCAGCCAAGGGGCTCTCAAAGCTGATGTGGCCAATTTGTCAGCATCTGATCACAAATCCTCTTTATGAGGACCAAGAAGAGAGGGTCCTTTGGATAATTCAACAAAGGTTTGACTCAAACAAGCGAGGAGAGGTACAAAGTTATTGCACGATCAAGTATAACACAGAATTTAAAATAAATATTAATAATAAGTAACAGAATTGACAATATTCATTAATAACATTACTGGTTACTAATACTGGTTATTAATACAATTAGAGATATAACAAAATAACACAACAGAAGTTGTCTTAATTGCTATCTTTTACAGTCTAGAATTACAATGTTTTCAGTGGTGCAAAAAGTCAAAATACTTGAATGGTTTCAAATTTTTAACAGACTCATAAAAAATACTTCAGAGCATGAAACAATTCTCAAAAAGCTGCCAGGTCTGAAAAGTCTTTGCACATTTGCACCCTGCTACACACAGGAAAGAGGCAGCAAAGGCTCTTCCAAATTTACAACCCAACAAGCGTTCATTAAAGGAGTGCAAGCCACCTCCACTGCCCACCAGAAATGATTCAGAAACCTTGTGCTCCGAGCAGCACAGAATTCCTAAGAAAGATCCCAGCATTCATACAGAGACGGAAAACAACTATACTTAAATTTTCAAATTGGTAAAGAAAATCATACCCAAGTCTATGGAACACTGCTATGTGTTTTACCGGCCATTTCTGCCTAATGTCAGTACAAATTTTTCTGATTTCATTTTCCACCATTGGTATATATGCTTCATATTCTAAACTAATGACTTTTTTCCCTTCAAAGTTATTTCTTGTAGTACCTAAAAAAAAAAAAAAAAAGAAAAAAACCCATAAAATTAAAATAAAAATTTCCCCTAATTTAGAAATAGCACACTAAGAATAAAAAGGATTATTCTTCATTGTAAACATACACTTGTCTAAAAGTTACTTTGAAATTTTCTGAACAGATCTTGACTAAGAAAACAAAAGCTAATTATCCCAAAGTTGACCAGGAAATAAACACTGATTAAGCAAGCTTACTGAAACATTCAGATGACAAAACAAGCTGTATTCCTTTTCTAATAGTTTCATTTGATATTTAAAACGAAAATATTTATGTTCCCAGAACTATGCTTAAGTATATTTTTTTCTCAATATTTAGAAAATATAGAACTTTCTCTCCTAGCTATGATTTTCGTCACACCTTTTTTTGTGTGTGTTTCACTAAAGGTTACTAAAACAAAACAAAAACTAAAAAAAAAAAAAAAAATTTACTAAACTATCTGGGTAATCTTGGTTTATTCCTCAGTATCTTAAAGTCCTCTGTTAACAATGGAAAGGGAAATCGCTTGGCTAGTTTTTACTGTCTTGTGTAGTCAACAGATGCTGTGAAAATTACAACTCACCTACAAATAAGGACACTGCGCCACACACTGGAGAAATCACCAACTGTGAGACTTCATCTACTGAAAGTTTCTCGGCAGTGCATTTTATTATGTCTTTAGATTTCTCTTCAACTTCACCCACATTTTTCCTAGAAATAAGATATTACTTAACCTTACTGTGAATACTAGAAGCAAAATACTCAACTTGTAGGCTATTTCCATTTATATTTTTTTCTACATCAGATGTGTTAGGAGGCATGATTTAATGAATGTGAACATAAACCACTGTAAATCTGGGTGGAGGGTGGTGCTGAGACAAGAGGATTGCTGTGAATTCAAAGCCAGGGTGGGCTATATATTGTCAAGGCCATCTTGAACTACATAGAGAGATCCTGTTTAAAAAAAAGAATTACAAAAATTTTTAGCAAATTAATCTATTCAGAAATATTCCTAATGAATCAGGCATTATATATAAAGGAATTCAACATTAGTTGATCATTAAAATATAATCAATCTCATGTCCATTTATTTCAATTGCTACTCTTATCTCCAATCATGGTACAGATGAGATATCACCAGGTTTAACTACATGTACATCACTTTATAACCACTTTTTTCTTTACCCAAAAAGAAAGGAGGGACAGTAGAAGTGATGGAGATTCTACAAGAACTCGGTTCTTTTTATAACTTGGAATAACCCCAGCTAAGTAACAGAGGAAACAGCATAAACTGCACACCTATTTCAGAAATTGAGCAAAGTCATCTGCTGTGCACATGTCAGTTAACTTATTGAATGTTATTATACACTCACTAAGGGTCCTTAGTACATACTTAACAGCTTCCTCTTCACAGGTGCTTATATTTGGATAAGAGAAACAAAACGATAAGGAAGAATTGCAGTGGGGGATACCTTATGGAAATAAATAAGGGTCTGAGACTGAGCTTGGGGCCTAGGAGAAAGGAATCCCAGAGATCTCTCTCAAGAGGTAATATTTAAAGCTGAGACCTGGGGTATTATAAGGATGTGAAGAAATGCAGACAAAGCCCAGGCAAAGAGAGGAGCTGGCAAAAGTAAAGCCTCTGGGACAAGAAAGAACAAACTACCAAGAGCCTAAGTGCAGAGAGCAAAGGAGAAAGGGCTGCCTGCAGCTAGACCAGTTGGTAGGGCTTTAGGGGCCATAAAGAGCATAATTCTAAATCCTGAGAGGTTTCACTGGTACTGAAAACTGAAAGACAGCTCAGAAAAGTTAAGGACTCCTTCAAACTGCTGAAATTCCAATTAAGGGGTCTGAATAAGTCCAATGTTCATTTCCGTATTTCCTTCCAACTACTGAAAAAAGAAAAGCACAATTGTTCATATACCACTGCATTCTAGGATTTTTAACCCACTGTTCATGCTGCTTGAGCTTCTTTCAAATCACCCCTTTTACCTATGTGTACATCACTTTTTAACCAAGCCCTGGTAGTTTATGAGCCTATCATGTTCTTGTCTCAGAGCCTTTAAAGCTTTTTCTTGCAATAAGACATGGGTAACACAAATAGGGCCTGTGAGCTTTAAGTCACGAATTACCAATACCTGACCATAGAAGAATACCAAAACCTAGCTGGCAGGTTCTGAGATTATGTAACACAAATCCAGCCAAGCACACTCAACTAACGTATAGCACTGAGTAATCTTTCTAATCTGAGAACTGCTACAGCCATAGCACATACATACCTTCAGCAGCAGTCTATTCTCAATAAATTCCAAATGTTGAAAAATACCATTTGAGAAACTCCGGAAATCATGCTGATGATACCAAGGCCACAGTGTTCAAATAAAACTGAGATCCATATTTAATAAGAGATTCTATTACTTCCAGACAGCACGCATGAGAAAGAGCCCTAAGTGTGGACATGCTGGTCAATCGGTTACACAGACCTATTCTTCATTTTCTAAGGCACTACTCCCCAGGAAAAGGAAAGGTGGGCTGCAGGAGTGCATGAAAAGCAAGTATCAAGTATCCTCAGCTTGTTTTTCTTTCTAGTGGAACCAAGATTTTGCTATTAAGTGTATTTACTGTTAATTTTGGATAAAATCTCATCAAAGGTTTTTTCATTACTAATGAGTTTTTTAATCAGGGATGACTTAATCTACTTTGTTCTTCAGTTGACAAAATAAGTTTCACTCTATCTCTTTAAAAGTAAAAGAAGCATGATCTCTTGAAATACAATGAAGGATTTTCTTTCTCAAATCCAAATCAAATATGGACTAAGTTGCTTGGAATGATGGGAACATGGCATAGGTCATGAGACCACCTGCAATGAGCTACAATGGACTATATAGTAAGCTTTCTTTTCTGGCACAGGGATCTACTGACTTTCTAGCTGTGCAATTATTTTACATTTCTTTGGGGGCAAGAAAGTCGTTATCTACGAAGTATGTTTGTGAGAAAATAGAGTCCAATAAGATGAATTCAAAGTTTGGCTCTGCCACTTCTTGGCTATGTAACAGAAAGCAACATTTTAAACTTCTCTGAATTTCAGTTTTCTCACCAGCAACATGTGGATATTAATACCAAACAGTCTAAAACTGTGCCTGACACATACAAAAGATCTTAATAAACCATGTTAAATAAAAAATGAATCCATAAAACTAGTATTAAAATCCGTACAACAGAGTTGATACAGAGATGGTAGGTAGGTATCCCTGATTATTTCTGTACCAATAAACAGTTGCTGCAACAGTGAAGAACTTACAAAGAATACACAGTAACAGCACACCATATACAAGTCATCGGTACAGTCCCTCCCTACAAGATGGGTTTAAGAAAAAATGTCACATACCTACATGGCTGAGAAGCATTATCCTCCACTAATTGGGGGGATAATGGCAATTTCATCTCCTGGTTGCAGCTGGAGGAGCTGATCTCCCAGCTCGACATACTCTTGACGAACAGCAAATATCACCTGATTTTTAATATCAGCCAATCTAAAGGGGAAAAAGTCTGATTAGAAATAAGCATGTGATAGCCCTCAAAACTCGTCAGCTACAATTAAAGATATTATATAAATACCACTGTTTTAAGCATGATCTGCAAAGTTCTTGACTCCTTTTCTGTGCAGAAAGGAAATATCCACTGTAGAACACACTTATTCATTACAAAAATACATGAAACTGTTAACAACTCTTTACTGAATGTTGTGTATTTTGGGGAATGAAACAAAACCAGACAGGAGACAATGTTCAAACTAAGTCAAGAGAAAAGAGAAATTCCCAAATAAGTCTGTGGTTTTTGTCTAAGTATAGAAGCATACTAAGTACAGCTAGTTAAGTTTCCTACAATGCCAGGTGTCTCCCTATAGGTAGATGAAGATCGATACAGTACAGAGGCACTGTCAAGTTCTACTGACTGCTAGAGGACTTAGAGAGAAAGGACCTCAAGAAGGTACATTTTCCTTCTGAACAGACATTGTGTTTTTGTTTGTTTGTTTTTGGTACCAGGGATAAAACTCACAACCTTACAGTTGCAAGGCAGGTGCAGTGCCACTGAGCTAAATCCCCAGCCCTTCAACATACACTGCAGAGTCTGTGGGTGCTGGGGATAGAACTCAGGGTCTCCTGCATGCTTAAGCCAGCACTCTATCCCTGGGCAACTCAATCCAAATCAAGTCTTGTAGTCCCAGGTTAAAAATTCATATAGCTTTAGGTGACATTAATATTTTTTTTCCTCATTGAGTTTATTGGTACATTTTAGGCATACAGTAGTTACATTCACCATCGAGATCTTGTACCTTTACATGACAGGTCTTGGTTCTCATTTTTTCCCCTTGTCCCTGCCCTCCCTTCACCCCTCCTCCCTTCCCTATTTACAAATGCTTTATTTCCATTTTCTCATATATTTTCTCCTTATTTCTTTCCCCCTACCCTTCCCACTTCCCCTACACCTTTATCCCTTTTCTTCCTATTTCACATTGTCAATTATACCATTAGGATCTTATTTACAATGTTTTTCACATCAGAGAAACTACTTGGTATTTACACATGTATGACTTATTTATTACACTTAAGAGTATATCCTCAATATGCATCCATTTTCCTATGAATGAATCTAATTTCTCATTCTTTATGGCTGAGTAGTATTCCATTTTATAGAAAAACCACATCTTTATCTAGTCTCCAACAGATGGGCAAATGGGCTGTTTCCCAGTTTTAGCTGTTAAAAACTGTGCCGCTATAAACACGGGTGTGCGTATATCACTGTGGTATGATTCTTTTAATTCTTTTGGAAAGATACCTAGCAGAGGGATGGCTGCATCAAATGAAACCTCTAATACTAGTTGACATTATTAACATTTCAAGAACACCCTCAAATAGGTCACTTTTATATTTTGTTCCAAAAAGGTCTCAAGATAGGAATGAGTGTAGCAAAATTGCAGATTTTCAAGGGCCAAGAAAAAAAATATTGTGAGACTCAAGTTCAGCAGCATTTAGGGTTTTAACTCATTTTTCTTTCAATTTTAGAAATTTCTATTTTGAATGTTCTTTTTTTTCAGTACTAGGGATTGAATTCTTGGCCTTGAGCTTGAGAGGCAGGGCCGGTGCCACTGAGCTAAATCCCCAGCCCTTTGAATGTTCTAAAGAAAAGCAGAAAGTATAAAGTGCATTTTTAATAGAATTTGTAAAAATTTCACTTAATGGCATAAAAATACAGTCTACATTTTCAATGTCTTGTAAATTATGAAAATAGTTGTAAATTATATAATCATGTCACCTGGGAACATCCCAGTTCACTGCCTTTTTAGTAAACTATCTTTAATTCTCCTCAAGGAATCGTGCGTTTCTAAATACTTAGAGTCAAATTTTTAGTAGTCCCAGAAAAATACAACTAAAACAAACTATTTTTATATTACATAAGTACTTATCACATGCATTACACAAACATTTTAACTACCCAGGATGTCGAGTTTCTATCTCTTTCCACAGCTGCAACACTTTTATTTCTTGCCGCACAGAAATGGTCTCTGAACGAACTCCTGCTATTTCCGCACTTTTTGCAAAATACAACACTTCAACCTGAGAGGGAAACAAATGCTTTTAAAAATAATTCATAGTCTTTTTCTAACAGCCCATGCTGTTTTCTTGCTTTCCAAAAGTATTATTTTAACCAAAGACAAATTTTATCTTAGAAAAAATTAGTCAAAAATTGTCAATATGGGCCGGGTTTTAGTTCAGTAGTGACGCCTCCTGCCTTGCAAGTGCAAAGACCTGAGTTCAATCCCCAGCACCAAAAAAAAAAAAAAAAAAAAAAGGG